TACATGTATTCTCTTGCTCTCTGTCACATGTACATAGAAATGTTGAAGTTTCTCAGTCTCTCTTCTAGACAAGAGAAACTTCCTTCTTTCCTGTGTTACCACATACCATATCAGTTGTCATCAAATTGATTATGACTCAAGGTAGCCTCAGCCGTGTAGAGTAGAAATACGTTTCTCAGGCTTCTCAAAGCTGTGATCTTTCTAATGAGATTGCCAGGCCTTTCTTGTAAGTTACCTCTGGGTGGATTCAAACAGATAATGGTTAAGTAGAAAAGCGCTTAACCATTTGCACAACCCAAGGTATCTTTTCCTATGTTGTTTTTATTAATTTCCTGGGAGTAAATTCTGACTCATAACAAACCTGTATAGTGTTTCTTAGACTGTAAATCTTTATGGGAGCAGAAAACCTCATCTTACTCCCACAGACCAGCTGGCGAGTTTGAACTGCTGACGTTTCAGTTATCAGTCTATTGTTACTCTACTACATTACCAGTTAGGCAGTATAAAATGGTAACCTAGTATAAGGAAACCCTGTACAGGGTCGCTATGGGTCGGAACCGACTCGACGGCACTTAACAACAACAACAACAGTATAAGAGGGTGATCAATTTAGCGTAGACTGATAGTTATTTAATAAGCTTCAGCTGCAATGACATATTTGACACATATTTCATGGTGTTCCCCAAACGCCTACCTGACTCTACTGCCCTTTCTTTCAGAAGTACCACAGTAAAATAACAGTTAGGTTTCACCATTCAAAAATGTTTCCATGGTTTAAGTTTTTTTCAGGATTTCTGGCATAGAATTTTCAAGTGAACCTTAGTAATTTTTGATGGAAATCTTTCTAAAATGTCTTTCATACTGATTTTTATCTTAAATAAATCAAGCTAGATGCAATTTAGTCTTTGCTGTACACCTAATTTGTGTTATTATTGACATATAAAGACTAGTGTTTGACATTTGCTGTAAAGCTTGATAGTTTACAAGGACCATTCATAGACATTATCTCATCTGAAACTCCCTGGACCACACACTGCTTATTCTCATTTGCCATTTATACTCTGATGAGGATTAGGAAACCATCTAACCTACTTTATTAGAATGGGGTGTCAAATATGGCTGGGAGCACCCTCCTATTGAGTAAGATGTGTGGCTTTTGTGATAGCTCTTTCCATACTCAAAGGCTGTTTGGCTGAATTATGACTTCTTGGCAGTGTGCACATTGAGTGATGTAGCTGGAAGAGTTGACCAGATGAGTGGAGAATTCTGTAGTTATATTTTTAGCATAATCATTATTTTATAAATATCTCCTCCAAAATTCTGTCAAGAGGTTTATTTGAGAACTTAATCAAAATGTGTTTAATATAATATGTTTAATGCTATACTAAGCATAAAAAATAGTTTTAAAATTAAACACTGTTATGTTTTAGAAAATAGTTTGAGAAGTACAATGGTGATTTCCTGTATTGGTGCATGGGAGTATGGAATGGAAAATATGGAGGATTTTGTGTCATAGAGAAAAATCTATATTATATTATCTCAAAACCACTCGATCATGATGTCATAAATATAGCTTGTGAAATTAAACAATGATGATCCAAGAATGGAATATGATTTATTTAGTATCAGAGTTTGACAACTCATGGTCTTTGAGCTTCCAAAAACATTCCTTAAATGTGTGATTAAAAATGAAGTAAATATATTACCCACTACATAAAAGAGTGCTCTGTACAAAACTGTAAGTATTGATGCGTTCCCTCCTATTATGTAAAAATGGAGAGTCTTGCCTGAAAACCTAGGTATTTTTTATATAATTTTTGGTAGTTGTCATGTGGGGGTCAGTTCTAACTCTCAGTGGACCTTATGCACAACAGAACGTATCATTGCCCAGTCCTGAGCCATCCGTATCATTGTTGTTATGATTAAGTCTTTTGCTGCTGCCACTATGTCAGTCCTTCTCGCGGGTGTCTTCCTCTTATTCACTGACACTGCACTTTACCAAGTCTGATGTCCTTCTCCAGGAACTGGTCCCTTTGATAACATGCTCACAGTATGACAGATGAAGTCTTGTCATCCTGGCTTCCTAGGAGCAATCTAGCGCTATTCTTTCAAGACATATTTGTTGGTTGTTCTGTCATCCCATGATACTTTCAATATTCTTCTTCAACACCATAATTCAAATACATCAGTCTTCTGTGGT